CCCCAAAACCCCAAAACCCCAAAACCCCAAAACCCCAATCGAGAGAGAAGGTTCATATATATTAAAATTATTGTAGAAGTAAGCATGTCTTGTTCTTTCTCAAGATATTTCCAACTTGATAATCTACTAAGACTTTATCGTACTATCAATAACATAGATTTTTCTATTCGCTTTTCTATTATCGCCCAAGAATGTTCACTTCCAATTAAAAATTAACAAATTTCCTCTAAAATCTTTAGTTTTGAACTATGAATTTTATAAATTGTTCTAAATATTCTGCTTGTTCAAGTTGTGCTTGTCGTTGATCTCTGATGTCTCAGAATATATATCCCATTACTCAGCTCATATAGCGCTTCTTAGTACATTAAGCACCCTAAATTAGCTTGTAAAGTACAATAATCTTAAATTTATGTAGATGGACACTGAGACAATGATCAGAAGGAAGACTTCAGACTTACTCAAATGCCTTGAACAATTTATGAAGATGACTACTGAATACAGCAGAGGAGGGAAACAAGCAGGACAGTTTGACTTAACTCTCTTTTCACGCATTTATACGTAAGTGAGACTCTCTGATTCTTTCTAGACTTTTGTATGACAATGAGCAGGCTTCTGGAGCCTTCTATAATTACTGCCTAAGCGAGATTGAGAAATTTATTAAGTAAGAACCTTATGAAATTACTTTAATAGGACTCAGATTCGGCATCTTGAGCAATGTGACGCAGGAGGAATTCTCGAAAAATTTAATGAGTCATTCAAGTCATTCTCAACATTCTCTAGGGTATGTGGAAATGCTGTTGGGCATGCTAATAAGTTCTTTGTCCCCTTCATGCAACCTGGAAAAAGTACTCAAACACAGTCTCTGAAGATCTATATGAGACTTGTTTTAGACAAGTTTAGCGAGCCTATTATTGAAAATTTGATTGGGGCTATAAATGATCTAAGAGAATCCGAAAATATTCAAACAGATTTGATTAAAGATATCGTGTCTATCTACATAACCTGCGGCATCAAAGGCGATGCACGCCTCAAAGTAGACGCAAACCACTCTACAACTTGGCATGGGGAGAGAAGCCTAAGCGTGTATCAGGAAAGATTTTTGGAGATTTTTAATAAAAATAGTCGCGCCTATTACTCGAAGAAATTTGACAGTCTCTTAGAAGTTCTGGATTTTCCAGAATTTTTACAACAATTTAGAGTGCTCAATCTAAAAGAGAAAAGGATTGTCCAAGATATTCTAGACCCAAGCTCTTATGACGAAGCCATGATGAACCTAATCTCTGCTGTGAATACAAATGACTCTCTTAGGTCTCGGGTTGAAAAAGAGGCTTCTAGATTAAGAGAAATGATCGAGAAAGAAAAGTTTAAGGAAATTTCAAATATCATCCATTTTTGTATTGAAGCATCTGTAGGAATTAAACAGCTTTCTCAGGAGCTTAAGTTCAAAATTGAGAAAGATCTTGATCAAATTTTTAAGAGGAAAGAAGACTGGAAGGATAAAATATCTCTAACCACTAACCTTCTTGAATATAACCATCAGATTTACCAACTTATTGAGGAGAAACTAGGAGGCGAGCATTTCTTCAGAAAGGTCCGCCATGAATGCTTCCAGGAAATAATCAAGTCGAGCTACAAAACAGATTGGCTTGCTAGTTACTGTGACTATTTCCTGACTGAGGAAGTCAAAAATTACGATGAGAAGGAGTTGATTAGTCATTTAGATAATATTATTGACCTATTCCAGTTCTTTAGTGATAAGGAATACTTCATCTCTCACTACTTCTGGTATCAGTACAACCGCTTACTGACTCAGAGCCATGCTAATTACTACGCAGAGAAGGAAATTGTCAATTTACTGACTAAAGAGTGTGGATCTAATGCGACAGTGAGGTTGACTAAATTGATAATGGACATTAACTTATCTCAAGACCTTCATAGTGACTTCTCTAGCTCAGATATTGTAGACCAGACAGGTTCAGTAGAGATGTCAACTGTGATACTTTCATCCTCTATTTTGGACAACAGAAAAGAAATTTCTGGAGAAAGGTTTATGGATGAAGCCATTTTCATCCCAGTTGAGTTAGAGTTATGCAAAATGGTGTATGAAAATTACTATCTTTCTAAGTATCGATCTAGGAAGCTTCACTGGCTTTATCAGAGAGGCGAGGTTATCATGGAGACAAAATTTACACCCAAGCCGTACACTTTATCTTTAAATTGCTACCAAGCTGCTATTTTGAGTCAATTTGAGAGAAAATAATTCCTTTACAGTCAAGGAGCTCCAAGAGTCAACGTTTCTAGATAAGAAAAAGATTATAAAGCAGCTGAAGCAGTTGTGTAACCCAAAGAAAAAGCTATTGATCAAGGAAAATGAGAAGGCTCCTTTATTCCCAGATTCAGAGCTTATTAAGCTGAACTTAGAGTTTAGCCATCCACTTTTAAAAGTAAACTACATTCCAAAAATAGTGTTGAAATCATATAATGATGGTGATGAAGAGACTAAGGAGGCAGTCAAGATCCTCAGACAGGACACTGAAAAGTCTAAGATCAGACAAATGGACGCAGCCATTGTTGCTATCATGAAGAGAAATAAGAAGCTTAAGGAACAAGATCTTATTGAAGAGGTATTCAAAGGCATCAAGTTCAATTGTGACGTCAAGTTTGTCAGAAGATCGTTAGCTAGACTTAAGCAAGATGAGTATGTAATTACTCCACATGATTCCAAAGACACTTATGTTTATGTCCCATAAAGAAGCATTCAACACTCCTGGTTTACTCTGGGGTTTTGGGGTTTTGGGGTTTTGGGGG